TGTTAAAAGAACCATATTTTAATGTTATTTTAATATGACATCGTGTTACCTTGTGTCCCTACTTTTACAAAATAAATAACAATTTGTTTAGTTTATTTTTATTAAAAAAATTGAAATATTTACACTGTTGACTTAAAAACTAAGTACTTATCTATTTATTACACAAAATTCATACACAAAAATTTCATATGTACATACATACATACACTATAGTGCGAAACTGAGTCCATGGTGATTTTTGTTGTACATGTGCAAGGTTTTTAAAGTTAAATTTTTTTTGTTACTTTTTTATGAAAACATGGTTTATGCTTTAACCAAAACTATATAAATCAAACTTTCAGTTTTTATGCAGAGCGTGAATGAGATTTTTATATGTATTTTGATTTGACTGTAGCATTTTCATATTACCTAACGTTTTGCTCAAGTTATTGTCTGTTTCGAAATATTTCTTAATTTGAAATTTGATTGGCATTAATACACCTACCACTTTGTTTGAATTTAAACCCGGGTTACTATTAACTACTATTTCTGCTATTTCTTCATTGATAATGTATGAAGTTGGAAGTTGAAAAATTTGTTCACTTTCCAAAGCCTTAAAAAAACGGTACTCATTAATATTATTATCGAGAGCAGGAAATAAACTAACGAAATTTGTTTCAGCGGTTGTTCTGATATTTGAGTTTGATATTAAAGGCGACAGTGACATTAATACATGTTCTTGTATTGGCTTTAAAATTGTATCGTTAATTTCTTGTACAATAGAAAACACATCTTTTCTTGTGAAATTGTTTTTGTTATGTAGAGACAATACAAACATATTCATATTAAATTTTTTTTGCGTTGTATTATTAAAATTAGAACTTAATTTATTAGTCTGCCCTTTAGTAATATTAGGCCTAACAAAAACAGGTGCACGATAAGATACAGCAGGTGTACTTGGCAACGACGCATGAACTCTACGTAGGTGATTTTGAAAACTATACACGTTTGAAAAACATTGACCACATTTAGAGAAAGTGCAAACAAAATTTTTTATCTCAGCAAAAACATGGAAAGATTTCAAATGGTCAACTAACAATTTTGATGTAGAAGACCTTTCGTTACATATAAAGCATTTGAACATTTTATCAATCTGCTCCAACAAGTTTTGAGTATCTTTTAAATAATTCTTAAGTGTAATAACATTAGGGTGTGCACAATCCGCAATGCCAAAAAAGTAGGATTCGATAAAATTATATATGGATTTCGCTTGTATCGGATATTCCAAATTTAATACATGAAAGATTTTAAATAAAGTATCAAGTGATTTTAAAAATGTCGGTACCTTGTAAATTATACTGTCGAAAATAACGTAAAAAGAGTCTAACTGAGTTAGTTTCTCTCCGACTACCAATAGTAGCGGCTGAAGAGGAAGATTCTTTTGATTTAACTTAATCTTTAATTCGTGGTACATCCTCTGATAATCGTTTATGCTGCTGCAATGCAGCAATGTCACTGCTTGCGCATCACATATTGATGGCTTCCATTTAAGCCGTTTTTCACCAGAAGTTTGTCCAACGGAAATTAATGACGGTTTAAGTATCGCATGCAAAAGCAGTGTCAATAAACAATCCATTGAGTCTGCATAAGAAAATAAAATAAATACTTGAAAAAATAAATATTAGACTTGTTGCTTTACCAGTACTGATGTTTTCGTCAATTTTTTTTAGCATATCAATGGACGTTGCATCTCTTATTTTTGTCTTCATGTAAGGTATAATTGACTTTCTAAATTTTGGCCATTCGTTTAGCAAATTCTGCGAACAGTTGGGAAATTTCGCTTCAAAATCAATTTCAACCTGCAGTATAATTGAAAATATACAAATTCCAAAGTTTTATATCATAAATAAGAAAATTTAAAATAGGTACATATATAAAGCTAAACTTACCAAAGTGTATCCAAGACTGTGTTTCAGCAGCGGCCAATTAGTTAAAATATTTGCGTGTTCATTTAAAATCTCTGCGGTTCTTAATTTGACTGTGTTCGTCCATTTTTCTACAACATCGCCCCAAGGCTCTACATTATGA